TAAATATATGCATGCACCTACATCTGTGTTTATTTTGTTTTCTTTTCACGGTACTGTAGATTGAACCCAGAGCCTCTGGCATGCTAGGCAAGTGCTCTATGCTGTGCTACATTCCAAGCCTTTCTATAATTTAGATACATTAAAGGAGTCTGTTGTGAGCATGAAGTGATAATCAATACATAGTCAGATTCTGGAACAGAGTAGGCTATTTGGATTTAAGTTTAAATTGAATTTAGATTTAAATTTAACAGTTAATCACTTTCACATATAATTATTTTGATAATTCCATAAAGAAAACATAACATCCTGACTGGAGGCCAGCTGCATTGGCATGGGACACCTATTAGCTCAACTGTAAGGTGGGGAACTAGACACCAAGAAAAAATCACTAGGCAGTCATCCAGGGAATCAAAAATTTTATTCCAAAATATGAATTATCCTGTAATAAATTGCAAGAATTTATACCAAACTAATGTATGTCTGATAAAGAACAGAAAGTACTCCATATGTTCAAAAATATTATCAATGATTAATATAGTCCCCATATTTCATAAAAATGTTCAAATGTAATTTATGACATTGTTATATATAATAAATTTTCCTCTTTCCTATAAAATGTTTTGTCTTTCGATTTAAAGTCTCTAAGGGCCAGGAATTTAGCTCAGCGGTTTCAGCGCCTGCCTCACAAGTGCAATGGACCCAAGTTTGATCCCTGGTACAAAAAAAAAAAGGAAAAAAAGTCTCTAAGGTCAGATATATTCACAATGAAAAGTAAAAACTACAAAATTTAATTTATTCAGAAAATACATAATACTCTATTAATTTTGTTTCCATGCACAATATAAAAAGTTAAGCATAGAGAATTAAAATATTTTTCAAGATGTCTGTAATTCACCAGCATATCCAGGAATATACTTCATATCCCCTAACATGTACCTTGTCCTTTACAACACTTGGATACTTTTTAATATAACCAAAGCCAAAACACTGTGAGAAAGTACTGATGGAGAAGTATCCAGGAATACTTTATAGGAAGCCCAAAGATTAATAACTTAGCTTTCTATGTTTATTAAAATTTATAAAGAGATTGTACTCCTAGTGGGAATTCTGGTAGATAAAATATTTTTTTAATTCTACCTTATTTTTAATATCTACTGTATTTAAGTGGAGCAGGGTAGTATATTGCAAAATATAGAGGGTAACCTGATGATAAATTTAAAAAGGATAAAAAAATTTTAATTTAAGAAATTCTGCTCAGGCTATTAATTTTTTAGTACTGGACAAAAAATAAAGTGAATTACTTGTACTTGCAAAAAGATTCTATTATCTGTGAAATCACCATTAATTTTCAGTAAAATATAACAGATATTTATTATTAAAAAAGTAAAAATTAAAAGAGGAAATTTTTTTAAAAAACATCATTTATAAGCTAACTACAAACAACTAAGTGGAATATCTTTTACTTTTTCCTCTGCTTAGATTTGTTGTTTGAGGATTACACTCATAAAGTAGCTGTCATTTAATCTCATTTCTAACAATGTTATAACATAAATGTTCATTTTTTAAATCAATAAGCAGTATTTCTTCATCTTTTAACTATTTCAATAGTTAACTGCATACACATATATCATAGAGTATTTTCCCACCTACACACACATGTGAACACACACACACACACACACACACACACTCAGACGGAAGAATATGCTAATTACATAAACAAACAACTATATTACTACCCCAGATTGTAGATTAAGTAAATGAATTTCTTTTCAAAATAAATATACCCAGGATTATAATTTTGGCTTTTGGGATTAGAGCCAAATGTCCTTTGTAAATAATTTTTATTTAGAAGATAATCTAGGCCAAAAGAATGTGATTTTTTAAAGTATTAAATTATTACATACAGACAATATTCCAAATTTCTTCAAATAATAGTTCAACCATTATAGTTAAGTAATTTCTAAAATGTTGGATTTTCAAGGAAATTACCAGGTTCCAAATGTCTAACACTGTCTTGTATCTCCACACTAGTCGATGGATAATGTAAGATACCTTGATAAGCATAACTGAGGGTGTTACAGAATTTGATACAAATATGATGTAATCAGTGTTACATTTTTCCTCTTCACAGATAGTCTGTAGAAATATGCAACACTTGAGTGGGTTCTTATCAAACAGACATTTGAAAAAGTATTACTATAGGAATCAGACACCTTTCCAAATATTTTCCCAGGTCTGATGACATTCTTCTGACTAATAAAGGAGAAGATTTTTGTTGTCATTGTTCTTACTCTGAGAAAGATTATGTTTTGACAGTCTTAGCAATGGAAAGAGTAGAAATCATAAAGTAGCATTATCGGTTATAACAAATATAGGTGACTAAAAGTAAATTGATAAATTCTTTTTAATCTCACAGTCATTGAAAATTCACACTTTGGCTTCATAAAATAAAATGGCCAATTCACATGTATTCCATACTTATTTTCAGAAAAAAAATAAAGAGACATTATAAAGTAAAATACTATTTAGGAAATCTCAAAAGCAAAGCTTCACTACATTTGTACTATTGCATGGACAGTTTCCTGATTTCCTGTTAACTTTTCCAAAGGTGGGATATTCCATTTTAACAAATTGATAGAATTTTTAAAGACAAGTGGGTAAAATCTTTTCAGTTGAATATAGAGATTTGGAAAGATAATAGAAATTCCCTTTATGTTTAAATGTTGATTGTTTAAACATATTTGCAAGATGGGAGAAAAAGAAAAAAAAATAAATGCATAGAAGGGAGATAAAAAGGAAAAGCGGGAGAGAGGAAAGGAGAAGAAATTTTGACTGACGTCAAGGGTAATAAAATTTATAAAGCTTTCCTAAGAAACTCCAGTTAAAAGGCTGTTCTTTATCTCAGAAAATTCATGTTTTAGAACATTATAGTGACAGTAACTCAGTGGGTAATAATTTCAGTTATTAAGATGTTTTCATTATTTATCCAAAACATCTTTCTGAAGGGAGCTGATTACTCAGTGGTATGTCTAAAATGTGTATAATTTTGTTCTTCATTGTGATATGATGAGACTTCATCGAGAGAGAAATTACCAGAAAGGCTGTCCAAATACCAGAGATTAGCATTACCCTGCTGCTAAAGAATCACGGCATTTATATTTTACTCTGTAATTCATATGGTATTTTTACACTTATAGATTATATATCTATAAAATATAGATAAATATATTAGTTATTTGTTCTCATAACCTCCTGTTCTGACAAAATGTTTAGAAATTTTCTATAAAATATTTAAAATAGAATCTTTTCAAATCCAAAATAGAGTGGGAGAAAATCTCATAACTTATTCACAGCAGTTTTGTTCTCTTGATTACAACTCTTAAGATGATAATCTATTGTT